GGATGAAGGGGTGCCCTTAAGATGCGGGATAGGGTGGCTAGGGTGTACGCAGACAAGACTGGGAACTGGGTGCTCGGACCAGCTAGCAATGCTTATGTACTGCGCGTGCGCGGAAATGTCCGTCTCCGGCATGGGTGCGCAGTGAAATTGATGCGTGCACAGTCCGCTGATGCATCGCTGACGTATCGCTGATCTATCGCTGACGTCCGCTGATCAGGGCCCCCGGACCCTGTTATTTTACAGGGATCGTGCGCTGACGCATCGCTGACGCATCGCTGACGTATCGCTGACTTCCGCTGACGTTCACCCATCCGGCCCGCGGCAGTCATGCGCGCCGCCTGGCGCGGCTCCTGGTGATCGAAGGACGTCGGTTGAGCTAGCAGGTGGCACCTGGTTGGTATGCTAGAGCATCCTACTAGTGGATGTATTCGCTGTCCCCTTATTCTCGTTCACCCTCCTCATTCCCAATCCTGCTCATCCATCCCCTCATCATGTCTTCTGCTATATATACATGAACGCCTTGCACGGTGCCACTGCGCGCGGGGCGGGGGCTCGCTTCTGGTAGACGTCCGCTGCCGCTGGGGTGAATGTGGCAGTCGCGACCCCTGCGTGCTCGCCCAGCGAAGCCCTCGCCCGCGCATTTACTCTGCCGTGCGTTCGGGGGGGGGGGCCGAGTCCACAGCGAGGGGGCGGGCCCTCGGGCGCTTACCCCCTGCCAAACCATTGGTCGCAAAACCTCGGCGTGAGATCGCATCTGCACCCGCACTTGCATTCGCAGTGGCTCGGCTCGAGCCCCCACCATGGCGCCGAAGAAGCGGCGCAGGACATGCGATACCCTAGACCCACATGCAACACTAGAAACACGGCGGGCCCATGGCAACAGACTACTTTGGTTCCTCCAGGGCATGTACTGCGAGGGCAGGCCGATGTCGGGCGCAGCTATGGGAACTATTTGTTACCTAGCAGCAGAGGCTGGCGCGTTGGGGGACTTAAGTCGCCGGGGTGTTCGACCGGAAGAAGACCGAGACAAACGCAACGGCAACGCCGCCAAAAAATAAGGTCGAACATTCGAGAGTTGGTCATTTCAGACAGAGTTCAACCTGGTGTTCTGGATGTCCCTGGGTTTGACCTGAAGCTCAAACGTCATGCAACTATACATATGCGGGTGCGATCGCTGCACGAGTCGCTGCATGCTGAACTGACTGCATCCCCGACATCGTTTGAGGACTGTCTGGGCACAACCTGTCCGGGAAGCGGGCTCGGGGGATAACACAGATACCGATTCAGATATAGAGCGATATCTCTATATATATGTATATATACAGAAGGGGGATAGAGTTCATGAGGTATGTATTGAGAGCGATGGCACGATGGATGTAGAGATAGAGATAGAGAGCGAAACATAGAGAGAGCGAGGGATAGAGCGGGGGGATATATATATATATATACATATATATGTATATAGAGAGAGAGAGGGAGAGAGAGAGAGAGAGAGAGAGAGACATACCGCACCCCTAAGGATTACAAGGCACAGCTAGGCCAGAGGTCGTACCCGCCCGCGTGGACGACGCACCCCATAATGCAGGCTGGTGCCGCCACTGGGGAAATGGTGGTGCCGCTTGCGCTCTTCATTGATGCCGCTGCTTACGGCGGTACGGCCTCTGCGGGTAGGTTGCGGTCAATCGTGGTGATTTCGTGTTCGAACGTAATCACTGGTCGCAGACACGTCGTGGCCGTGCTGCGAAAACAAGTGGCTTGTCGTTGTGGATGCGGGGGATGGTGCAGCATGTACGCTTTATTTTCGTTTATGCGGTGGTCCATTGGGGCTCTGGCGAACGGCATGTGGCCGCAGCCGCACTTGGGCTTCGCGGGGGGCGACTGCAAAATTCCAGGGACCCCTCTTGGATTTCGCGGTGCCATAGTTTACGTCATGTCCGACTGGGAGGGCTTATGTCAGTATATGGGTGCACCCACTTGGTCAAGCAAGAAACACCCTTGCCCGCTATGCACTACGACAGCCGCATCGATGCATCAATACAGGTATTGCTTTTTTTTTAGCGAGCGCAAATTGCATGTGCAAAAGGGGGGCGAGGGTACGCCTTGTGATGTTGCAGATAGGGGGGCTTGAGAGCTGGGGAAATGAGAATAGCGGGGTCGAGCTCTCTGGTCGTGGACGGTCGCCGCTGGTGGCATGTGCCTCCGATCATTGCCGACCGGGGTCGCTCGATCGGGCTGCGGAAAAAAAAAAACAACTCGTCAGCTCGATTCGGTATGCTGGTCCGCCGTGGCAGCTTCACGCTATCGACGCCCATGAACATGCCTGTGTGGGGGCTGAACGTTGGGTTGATATCACCACGCAGGACGAGCTGACTACATTGTTCACTCAAGGGCAATTTATGTTCGACAAGCGCAAGCCTGACAGACGCAAGAATACGGGGGGGGGGCTCCGCATCACCAAGGCTGTCCCACGTTTGAATGCTGCCTCCGAGCCCCTGTGCGCTGGCGACAGGCTGCATCCCCAACCCAACCTACCGAATACATCAAAATACACTGATGAGGAACCGCAACCCACTATGGTCTGGGGCATTTGGGCTTAGTATACCTGTATCATTTGCTGTTGATTATTTACATACGGTTGGATTGGGTGTCATGGGATATATTGTCCTGGAGTGTTTCTGGCG